TATTTTTAATATATTGAATATGGCCACAATTGTAGTGTTTTAAATATATGTCAATATATTTCGGTAGAATATTTTTAACATATATTTTTCTTCCATATGGGCGCCAGCAAAACTTCCCCCTTCTTCAGCAAAATCCTTCACTAACAAATACCCCCTTCCTGAAGCAAAACCTTCAACAGAACCATTCCACTCCACTCCAACCTGTACTGTGCTGGTCACTGTACTCCTTGCTGGAAGCTATGACATGAGGAAGCAAAGCCCTGCCTCTTCCAAGATGGCCGCCTCCACACAGAGACACACTGCAGAACAAAACATGCAAAGCCAGTAATCACGGCACAATTGTCTACGGGGAGACCACAGGCAGTACTGGTGACTAGCCCTTTGCCATTTGGCACATCTTCTAGAGTTCAATTTCTTTTTAATGGTTGGAGGAGGAGGAGACAGCCAGGTCATTAGCTTTTTCAGGAATCCAACAACGACAGACCGCATATATTTCCCGCAGTACGCATCCTTTAAACATAGGCTCTTTTTCCTTCACATGGTTGGCAGCATTTTTACTTTGGCATTACCACAGATGGAAAACGCTCGAGTCTTGGATCATGAATTATTGAGGCGATTTGAAATGACCCCTCCGTCAACTTCTAAGGTTCTCCGTTCCGATTTTCTTCTCTGTCCACTACTGAATTTTAACGAGCGCCAAACAAAGCTCGGATTTCAGACCAACTGATACTGAACAGTGACCAAAGGTCCTTCAAATGGCCTACATTTTAATTATACATAATGGAGGTGTCTCATTATTTAGACAAAGACTGAGGTCATACTTTGACTTTGATGTATCTTTCTCTGCCAACTGTCGTGTTGGAAAATGTGAGCTTCGAATGGCAACGGAAACAGACCGTACAACATTTATACGCTACGTGGCCAAGAGTACATGGGCCCACTCCAAAATATACAGTTCAGGTGTTTCCTCATGTCAATGAATCAGTATACAAAGACGTTGTAGACAATTCGGCTCCTCCAACCTTTCGGTGAAGGCCCTTTTCTGTTCCAGCATGACTGTGCCCCTGTGCACGTAGCCAGCTCCATAAAGACCTGGTTTGATGAGAGTTCTTTGAAGGAACATACGTGACCTACACAGAGCTTTGGCCTCAACCCTACTGAACACCTTTGAGATGATCAGTCAGCCTGTGAGTGTGGCAGGAGTTTACCTCAGGACAGGCTAGGGAGGTTTTAAGATCAGAGCTTTCTAGAGTCCTTCACACCTCTCCAGAAACCTGAGAGCTTTCTGGAGGAGGGATGTAGGAGGGGAGGAAGCTTGGATTTGCATGCTTGGGAGACCTTGGCCAATCCCATGGCAGGAGGCTAGGCATGGTGGCCAAGGCAACCCTTAAGAACCACAGAGCCTGGGAGTGGGGGGGGGGGGCATTGTCAGGTGAAATATGGAGTCAGAGGCTGAGTAACAGCCTAGGATGAGTCAGCCTGTGAGTGTGGCAGGAGTTCACCTCAGGACCGGCTAAGGAGGTCTCCGTTTCCAGCCTTCTGCTACGGGTGTCAAACTCCCAAGATCTCCGGACAAGATGACAAGACATTGTCTATTGTACAGCGCTGAGCAAACCCTTTGGCGCTATATAAACTCGTAGTAATAAATAATAATAATAACGTTTACGACATGGCACCAGATCTTGCGTATGTGCAGATGGAGATTTGGTGACCCATCTTTCATATTGCATGTTGCTATTGTAACACCCTCTAGGTTAGCTAGGTAGTCTTTTGTTCAGTCAGAGGCTGAGTAGCAGCCTAGGAAGAGTCAGCCTGTGAGTGTGGCAGGAGTTCACCTCAGGACAGGCTAGGGAGGTTCTAAGGTCAGAGCTTGTAGAGCCCTTCACACCTCTCCAGAAACCTGAGAGCTTTCTGGAGGAGGGGAGGAAGCTTAGATTTGCATGCTTGGGAAACCTTGGCCAGTCCCATGGCAGGAGGCTGGGCATGGAGACCAAGGCAACCCTTAAGAATCACAGAGCCTTGGAGTGGGTGGGGGGGGGGCAGTGTCAGGTGAAAGATGGAGTCAGAGGCTGAGTAGCAGCCTTGGATGAGTCAGCCTGTGATTGTGGCAGGAGTTCACCTCAGGACAGGCTAGGGAGGTTCTAAGGTCAGAGCTTCTAGAGCCCTTCACAGCTCTCCAGAAACCTGAAAGCTTTCTGGAGGAGGGGAGGAGGAGCTTGGATTTGCATGCTTGGGAGACCTTGGCCAATCCCATGGAAGGAGGCTAGGCATGGTGGCCAAGGCAACCCTTAAGAATCACAGAGCCTGGGAGGAGGCCCAGGGATGAGGCCTACCTACAGGCAAGTGATGGAGAAGAGGATCTCCACTGTACCATCATCTTCACGGGAGGATATCCTGAGCAGCAGGGAAGGAGCTAGCCCAGCGAAAAATCTGAAGGCAGCCACCAACCTATTAAGTACTCTTACACCCACTGGGACGCATAAGGGGAGAGGGCAGTCAGGTGGAAAACCCAACTAACTTCTCATCTGTAGCTGCTGTGCTAAATTGACAGTTTCTGGGCCCCTCACCCAGGGAATACCCTCAGTGCAGCTGGGTGAAGAGGAGGATTCATCTAGGGTCTGAGGAGGTTCACCAGAGAGCTGGAATGATCTTAAAAGGAGAGACCACTGTTGTCCACATCCCTGCATCGTTGCTAAAGAGTTTGTCCTCAAGTTTGATGTTCCCTTGGGCATCCCATACATCCCTCAAACCATCCAAGTTATTAACTCCTTAATAAAATCACAAAACCAAGCTCAAGGACTGTTTACTGACTTGGAGTGCAACGTGTGGAAGAAAATGTGCAGAACTGTAGGTGGACCCAAAACTCAGCGACTCCTAAGAAGGGGGGGGGGGGGGGGTAGTGCTACACTATATTGTTGGGAGATCTCCAAGGAGTTTGTCATCTATTCCCCTGTAGCCTTCTGGGACGTGTGATGTATATTCCAGGGGGTTGAGGTGGAGAACAGCTATGTCCTCCTCGCCCAATGAGGACGTTCTTCACCTAGGCGAGGTTGACGTAGCCGTTCTTCATCTCTAAATGAGGAATTCACAAAAGTACACAAAATAGTAAGCAATCAGGGGTGTCAAACTGGCGGCCCCTCCGGCTCTTGCGCTACAAGTCCCATCATGCCTCTGCCTTTGGGAGTCACGCTTGTAACTGTCACTCTTGCAATGCCTCGTGGGACTTGTAGTTTGGCAAAAAAGTGGAGGGCCACCAGTTTGACACCCGTGACATAAGAGGAAGGGGAGAGGAAATAAATAGAAGTTGGTGGAAGGTTCACCTTCATGGCGTAATGGAGTAAGGGTGACTGAACAAAACAGAAAACTTTTTAGGCGGCACAACAGAATGTTGCCCGCATCCTCCACTTTTGCTTATTATGTCAGCCAGTTGCTTGGGGTGGGATGAGGGTACTTGGCGCTTGGGCTGGGATGAGGGTACTTGGCACTTGGGGTGGGATGAGGGTACTTGGCACTTGGGCTGGGATGAGTGCACTTGGCGCTTGGGGGGATCAGTATACTTAGCACTTGGGGTGGGATGAGTGTACTTGGCGCTTGGGGATGAGGGTACTTGGCGCTTGGGCTGGGATGAGGTACTTGGCACTTGGGGTGGAGATGAGAGTACTTGGCGCTTGGGGTGGGATGAGGGTACTTGGTGCTTAGGGCTGGGATGAGGGTACTTGGCGCTTGGGGTGGGATGAGTGTACTTGGCGCTTAGGGGGGATGAGGGTACTTGAGGGTGAGGGTACTTGGCACTTGGGAGGGATGAGGGTACTTGGCACTTGGGGTGGGATGAGGGTACTTGGTACGCTTGGGGCTGGGATGAGTGGTACTTGGCGCACTTGGGATGAGTGTACTTGGCGCTTGGGGTGGGATAAGTGTACTTGGTGCTTGGGGTGGGATCAGTGTACTTGGCGCTGGGGGGTGGGATAAGCTCGTACTTGGCCTGGGGTGGGAATATGAGGGTACTTGGCGCTTGGGTGGGGATGAGTGTACTTGAAGGGGAGGGATGAGTGGGCGCTTGAGGTGGTTGAGTGGGGTTGGTGGGTGGTAAGTACATGCGGCCTATGCTTCTTTGAATAAAGTTCAATGGTTACATTGATCAAAGAATGAGTTTGATTTAAAGTGGTTGTCAACCCTTCCATACACCCGGTGAAGTGACCGGCCTCAAGTGATACACAGAGAGGAAACACATCCTCCTACGTTAGTTGTACCTGTGTATCTGCAGTATTCTCTTCTTACATCTCTACATCTCTTTCAAAGTGTTGAATTTATAAAGCTTGTTTGAGCCATAAGAAAAAAGGGGGGCAGAAAAGCTAAATTTACACACCTCAGTAAGGAGAGCTCTGAGAGCTGATTGGAGGGAAGAGACACCCCCCTCCCCTCCACTTAGCTCACATTAACAGAGCTGAGGTTGTGAAGTGACTGGCCTCAGTTGATACACAAAGCTGAAACACATCCTCCTACGTAAGTTGTACCTGTGTATCTGTAGTATTCTCTTCTCTACATCCTTTACAAGTGTTGAATTTATAAAGCATGTTTGAACTGTAAGAAAAAAGGGGGCGTTAAGCTAAATTTACACACCTCAGTAAGGGGAGCTCTGAGAGCTGATTGGAGGGAAGAGACACCCCCCTCCCCTCCTCGTAGCTCACATTAACAGAGCTGAGGCTGTCAATCTGCTGGAAGTCCCTTCCCTGTCACCATTTTTCTCTTGGTGTCACAAAGTGGACTCATGCTGATAGCAGAGGAAGGAGGCAGCAGGCAGAAATGACACTGAGTGCTCTGGACTGAGACAAGTACACACTATAGAGGGATGTGCTTTGTACATATTTCATGTCGGAGGCTTACAGCCACTTTAAGGAACCCACCGTGTTGGTGCGGCTGGGAAAGGATCTGCGCCTCTTAATCTGTTTAATGTGCAACGTTTAGATACAACATTCAGATATTCTGATTTCTCCTAACAGGAGTGTCCCAGCGGCATTGTCAACGAAGATAACTTCAAACAAATCTACTCCCAGTTCTTTCCACAGGGAGGTAAGTTTTAACCGCCATCATGATTGGTCATCATTGTCATTGTGGATAATTACGCCGGCGACAGACGCGGACAATTCAGGCTGAGCGCAGGATGAGAAAATACACGAGCAGGGGATGGCCGCAGGGGGATGGCCACAGGGGGATGGCAGCAGAGGGACGGCTGCAGGGGGATGGCAGCAGGGGGATGGCAGGGGGATGGCACAGGGGGATGGCTGCAGGGGGATGGCCGCAGGGGGATGGCTGCAGGGGGATGGGGGGGATGGCCGCAGGGGGATGGCAGGGGGATGGCCGCAGGGGGATGGCACAGGGGGATAGCTGCAGGGGGATGGCCGGGGGATGGCCGCAGGGGGATGGCTGGGGGATGCAGCAGGGGATGGCTGCAGGGGGATGGCTGGGGGATGGCAGCAGGGGGATGGCAGCAGGGGGATGGCAGCAGGGGGATGGCAGCAGGGGGATAGCCGCAGGGGGATGGCCGCAGCAGGGTGGCAGCAGGGGGATGGCGCAGGGGGATGGCTGCAGGGGGATGGCCGCAGGGGGATGGCCGCAGGGGGATGGCAGCAGGGGGATGGCCTGCAGGGGGATGGGGGGGGGGATGGCAGCAGGGGGATGGCCGCAGGGAGATGGCACAGGGGGATGGCCGCAGGGTGATGGCAGCAGAGGGCGCAGGGTGATGGCCACAGGGGGATGGGGGGGATGGCTGCAGGGGGATGGCCGCAGGGGGATGGCCGCAGGGACAAATGCCGATTTTAGCACGATCAGCAGATCCTGATTGATAGGGAGCTTCTGAAGCAAATACTTCCATTTCCCTCCCTCACCTCTCTATTGGTTCTATTTATGTGATGGGCAGCTGCAATGTCCAATGGGGAGGCTTAAGAGGTGGGAGCTCAGTTTTTATCGAAAAATCAAGAATTGCTTATCGCTTCATTGGCCTCTCAGTCTGGATTTACCGAGCATTTAAAGCGTTTCTAAACCCACAACGGTACAATCCGTCTGTAAAGCATGCTGGTTATACTCACTGTGGAAACCTAAGGGGTTAATCCTCTGCATTTGTTTGATTCTGTCTTCTCTGATCCTCCCCTTCTTCCAGTGTGTCCCCCTCTTATCTCCTGATAAGACATATCGTGTGTGGAGTAACTCTGCACATGCTCAGTTTGGTGTGTATTGCTAGAGAGGTTTTTTTTTTTTTGGGTGAGCAGCACAGGGCCAATCAGCACTATCTAGTCAGGGTCAGGGGAGAGCGGATATAGTGAATGCGGGGTCCGGGGAGAGCGGATGTAGTGGATGCGGGTCCGGGGAGAGCGGATGTAGTGAATGCGGGGTCAGGGGAGAGCGGATATAGTGAATGTGGGGTCCGGGGAGATACGGATATAGTGAATGCGGGCTCCGGGGAGAGAGCGGATATAGTGAATGCGGGTCCGGGGAGAGCGGATATAGTGAATGCGGGGTCCGGGGAGAGCGGATATAGTGGATGCGGGTCTGGGGGAGAGGGATATAGTGAATGCGGGGTCCGGGGAGAGCGGATATAGTGAATGCGGGGTCCGGGGGAGAGCGGATATAGTGAATGCGGGTCCGGGGAGAGCGGATATAGTGAATGCGGGGTCCGGGAGAGCGGATATAGTGGGGGTAATGCGGGGGCAGGGGGTCCCGGGGAGAGCGGATATAGTGAATGCGGGGTCCGGGAGAGAGGATATAGTGAATGTGGGGTCCGGGGAGAGCGGATATAGTGAATGCGGGGTCCGGGGGAGGGAGAGCGGATATAGTGAATGCGGGGTCCGGGGAGAGCGGATATAGTGAATGCGGGGTCCGGGGAGAGCGGACTATAGTGAATGCGGGGTCCGGGAGAGCGGATATAGTGAATGCGGGGTCCGGGGAGAGGCGGAGAGCGGATATAGTGAATGCGGGGTCCGGGAGAGCGGATATAGTGAATGCGGGGTCCGGGGGAGAGCGGATATAGTGAATGCAGGGTCTGGGGAGAGGGGATATAGTGAATGCGGGGTCCGGGGGAGAGCGGATATAGTGAATGCGGGGTCTGGGGAGAGCGGATATAGTGAATGCAGGGTCCGGGGAGAGCGAATATAGTGAATGCGGCGGGTCCGGGGAGAGCGGATATAGTGAATGCGGGGTCTGGGGAGAGCGGATATAGTGAATGCAGGGTATGGGGAGAGGCTTTATAGTGAATGCGGGGTCCAAGGGAGCGATATAGTGAATGCGGGGTCCGGGGAGAGCGAATATAGTGAATCGCGGGGTCCCTGGGATAGAGCGGATATAGTGAATGCGGGGTTCTGGGAGAGCGGATATAGTGAATGCAGGGTATGGGGAGAGAGGCTATAGTGAATGCGGGGGTCCCAAGGGAGCGGATATAGTAAATGACTGGGGTCTGGGGAGAGCGGATATAGTGAATGCGGGGTCCGGGGAGAGCGATATAGTGAATGGCAGGGTATGGGGTTTGAGAGCGGATTATAGTGAATGCAGGGTCCGGGAGAGCGGATATAGTGAATGCGGGGTCCGGGGGAGAGCGGATATAGTGAATGCGGGGGTCCGGGGATGGAGCGGGGTATAGTGAATGCGGGGTCCGGGGGAGAGCGGATATAGTGAATGCGGGGTCCTGGGGAGAGACGGGCGGATATAGTGAATGCGGGGTCCGACGGGGAGAGTGGATATAATGAATGCGGGGTCCGGGGAGAGCGGATTAGTGAATGCGGGGTCCGGGGGAGCGGATATAGTGAATACGGGTACCGGGGGAGCGGATATAGTGAATGCGGGGTCTGGGGTGGAGAGCGGATATAGTGAATGCGGGTCTGGGGAGAGGCGGATATAGTCAATGCAGGGTTCCGGGGAGAGCGGATATAGTGAATGCAGGGTATGGGAGAGAGCGGATATAGTGAATGCGGGGTCCGGGGAGAGCGGATATAGTGAATGCGGGGTCCCGGGTAGAGCGGATATATAGTGAATGCGGGGTCCGGGGAGAGCGGGTATAGTGAATGCGGGTCCGGGAGAGCGGATATAGTGAATGCGGGGTCCCCGGGGATGAGAGCGGATATAAGTGAATGGCGGGGTCCGGGGAGAGCGGATATAGTGAATGCGGGGTCCGGGGAGAGCGGATATAGTGAATGCGGGGTCCCAGGGAGAGCAGATATAGTGAATGCGGGTCCGGGGAGAGCGGATATAGTGATTGCGGGGTCCGGGGAGAGCGGATATAGTGAATGCGGGGTCCGGGGAGAGCGGAATAAGTGAATGCGGGGTCCGGTGCGAGAGCGGATATAGTGATTGCGGGTCCGGGAGAGCGGATATAGTGAATGCGGGGTCCGGGCGGAGAGCGGATATAGTGAATGCGGGGTCCGGGGAGAGCGATATAGTGATGCGGGGTTCCGGGGAGAGCGGATATAGTGAATGCGGGGTCCGGGAGAGCGGATTAGTGAATGCGGGTCTGGGGAGAGCGGGACATAGTGAATGCGGGGTCCGGGGAGAGCGGATATAGTGAATGCGGAGGTCCGGGGAGAGCGGATATAGTGATTGCGGGGTCCGGGGAGAGCGGATATAGTGAATGCGGGTCCGTGGAGAGCGGATATAGTGAATGCGGGGTCCGGGGAGCGGGATATAGTGATTGCGGGGTCCGGGGAGAGCGGATATAGTGAATGCGGGAGTTCGGGGAGAGCGGATATAGTGAATGCGGGGTCCGGGGAGAGCGATATAGTGAATGCGGGGTCCGGGGAGAGCGGATATAGTGATTGCGGGGGTCCGGGGAGAGCGGATATAGTGAATGCGGGGTCCGGGGAGAGCGGATATAGTGAATGCGGGGTCCGGGGAGAGCGGATATAGTGAATGCGGGGTCCGGGGAGAGCGGATCTATAGTGAATGCGGGTCCGGGGATGGAGCGGATATAGTGATTGCGGGGTCCGGGGTCTCGAGAGGATATAGTGAATGCGGGGTCGGGGAGAGCGGCATATAGTGAATGCGGGGTCGTCCGGGGAGAGCGGATATAGTGAATGCGGGGTCCGGGGAGAGCGGATATAGTGAATGCGGGGTCCGGGTTTAGTAACACTTTATCTACTTGCCATCCTTAGGCCGTTTATAAACATTCATGGACTTCAACTGGTTAAAATGAGCTCAGAAATCAGTTTGGAATCATTATTTTCAGTCGGCTGTTCAGTAAAAATGAAGCGGGAGGTTTTTACAGTTGCCCCTTACAGTTTGTTAAATGAGTGGAATCATTGCTCCATTTATTAATTCCCCCCCCAGCAGTCTCTAGTTTCCTCACTGATGCGACGTCATGCCGCTTGTCACACACGGGGGGGAGGAGAGACTTACTAGAACTGGAACACTCAGAATCTGGTGCAGCTGTGCATAGCAACCAATCAACTTCTAATGTCAATTTGTTCAATTAATCTGGAAGCTGATAGCAGATGTGGTAACACACGTGGTCAGAATAGCACCAGTCACACAGCTCCCCAGATGTACACAGGACCATGTCTTTTGGCACACTGACTTATGAAGGTTGGTGCTCCCCTGTGACTGTGCGTGCAGCTTTGTGCTGCCATCTGATGGCGTGTTGCAAACTAGTCTTTTTGATACCACCTTGTATAAAAGGAAATCTTTAATAATTATTTGTTTCTCACATTTGAATCCATTTGAATTCGCGGGCCCTGACTCTCTCTTGTTATCTTTGTCTTGCAGACTCCAGCATGTATACGCACATTTTCTGTTCAATGCGTTCGACACACCGACCACAACGGCTCCGTCAATTTCGAGGGTGAGAGTTCTCAAGCACTAAGGCGCACGCAGATCTGCCGCATGGTATCCGCAGATGCCGTTTATCACCCCGACTACTGAACGGGGTGCATACATTAAAGTGTAACTCCGGACAAGCTGTTTGTTTGTCTTAGGCCGGCCATTCATTAATACAATTTTCTCGTTCAAATTTCTGTTAGATTTACCTTCCGTTCTGTAGTGCGAGGGCACGGGCCTGATTACATACAAATTGAAGGCGATTAGGTCGGGGGGGGGGGGGGGGGGGGGGGGTCGGAGCCTCGTATTATATGGTTTTTGGTAAATCTAAAAGAGAGCGATGATTGTACCAAGTCTGCAAAATTTCTTGGGTAATGTAATGGTCGAGTGTCAGCTCTAGAGAGCAAGGGGTCCCGCGCGCATGCATTAGGTCGAGGTGCTACCACGGCCGCTGGCGGGTAGCCCGCTACAAGACCTTAATCGACCTGTATCAACTCACAAGTCCTATTTAGGTCAGGGAGATTCCTATGCATAGATCAAGGGGCGGAGACTGACCATTTGTGGGAAACTCGGGCGCACCGCCTGAGGTCCCGGGGTCAGTAGGGGGCCCCATGAGATGCCCCTGGTACCTTTTTATCATAGGCTTTTTTTGAGTTTGGCAAGGACACAGGGCCCCCATAATCCCTTATTGCCGGGGCCCCATGAGTTGTCAGTCCACCCCTGGCATAGACTGAGGGATTCAGATCCAGCAGAGACTGCTGTGGAGACCTCGGAGTCTACCCCCCAAACTGCCCCCCCACACTGCACTGTCACCATCACCATTGTTGCTCCAGGACTGCTGGCATCCTGATGAAAGGGGGGGCTATGATGTAATAGAGGGACTCTGTTAGGGACCCTGATGTAAGTGGGTGGACCCCTGATGTACCGGGGAACTCTGATGGGGGTGCTGATATACGAGGAAACTCAAATGGGGACCCTAAATATAAAGAAGGACTCTCTAGATAGGGATGACCATGATGTACTAAGGGGGGACTTTGAAAAAAGGGGGGAACTATACATATGTATACATATTTATATATATATATATACAGTCAAGGTCCATAAATATTGGGACATGGACACAATTCTAACATTTTTTGGCTCTATACACAATCAACCACAATGGATTTGAAATGAAAACGAACAAGATGTGCTTTAACTGCAAACTCGTCAACTTTAATTTGAGGGTATTTACAATCCAAATCAGGGTGAACGGTGTCGGAATTACAACAGTTTTGCATATGTGCCTCCCAACTTGTTAAGGGACCAAAAGTAATGGAACAGGAATAATAATCATAAATCAAACTTTCACTTTTTTAATACTTATGGTTGCAAATCCATTGCAGTCAATGGACAGCCTGAAGTGTGGAACGCATAGACATCAGCAGACGCTGGGTGTCATCCCTGGTGATGCTCGCCAGGCCTCTACTGCAACTGTACTTCAGTTCCACTGCTTGTTCTTGGGGCATTTTCCCTTCAGTTTTGTCTTCAGCAAGTGAAATGCTCAATCGGATTCAGGTCAGGTGATGGACTTGGCCATTCTGCAGAACATTCCACTTCTTTCCCCTTGAAAAACTCTCTTTGGTGTCTTTTGCAGTCTGCTTTGGGTCATTGTCCATCTGCACTGTGAAGCGACCAATGAGTTTGAAGCATTTGGCTGAATATGAGCCGATAATATTCCCGAAACACTTCACAATTCATCCGGCTGCCTATCTGTCAGCAGTCACATCATCAATAAATACAAGAGAAGCAGTTCCATTGGCAGCCATACAATGCCCACGCCATGACACTACCACCACCATGATCACTGATGAGGTGGTATGCTTAGGACCAAGAGCAGTTCCTTCTCCCATACTCTTCTCTTCCAATCACTCTGGTACAAGTTGATGTCGGTCTCATCTGTCCATAGGATGTTGTTCCAGAACTGTGAAGGCTTTATTTACATGTCGTTTGGGCAAACTCTAAATCTGGTCTTCCTGTTTTTTGAGGCTACACCAATGGTTTCCATCTTGTGGTGAACCCTCTGTATTCACTCTGGTGAAGTCTTCTCCGTTGATTGGTGACTTTGACACCATACACCTACCTCCTGGAGAGTGTCTTGATCTGGCCAACTGATGTGACGGGTGTTTTCTTCACCAGGGAAAGAATTCTCTTCGCTCATCCACCACAGTTGTTTTCCGTCGGTCTTCCGGGTCTTTTGGTGTTGCTGAGCTCACCGGTGCGTTCCTTCTTTTTAGAATGTAACCAAACAGTTGTTTTGGCCCACCGCCTAATGTTTTTGCTATCTCTCTGATGGGTTTGTTTTGTTTTTTTCATAGCCTAATGATGGCTTCACTGATAGTGACACAGCTCTTTGGATCTCATCTTGAGATTTTGACGAGCAACAGATTCCAAATGCAAATAGCACACGTTGTCAAATGAACTCTGGACCGATTATCTGTCTCATTGTAATTGGGATAATGAGTGGAATAACATACACCTGGCCATGGAACAGCTGAGAAGCCATTGTCCCCATTACTTTTGGTCCCTTAACAAGTGGGAGGCCCACATATGCAAACTGTTTGTCATTCCGTACACCGTACCACCATGATTTGGATGTAAATACCCTCAAATTAAAGCTGACAGTCTGCAGTTAAAGCACATCTTGTTCGTTTCATTTCAAATCCATTGTGGTGGTGTATAGAGCCAAAAATGTGTAGAATTGTGTCCATGTCCCAATATTTATGGACCTGACTGTATATATATATACAGTTGTGTTCAAAATACTAGCAGTCAGACAATCACTAAACCGGATCAATCACTTTTTGGTGGAAATGATATTTCTACATGGCAAATAATTCCTAGCAGGTGTAGTAGAGTCATAGAAATCCAACAGACCCGACAGTCATGAACATGCATGCTGCTAGATTCTGTGTCATTGAACTCACTCATTGAAAGTGGGCGTGTTCAAACATAATTAGCAGTGTGGAGTTCTATTAGTGAGGTCATTCATTCTTGATAAACAGGTGGCAATTATTGCCCTTATTTAAGGAAGGAAGAGGCAGCAAATGTTGGACATGCTGGTTACAGTGCATTTCTCTCTGAAATTCCTGAGGAAAATGGGTCCGTCCCCAGGCATTGTTCAGAAGAACAGCGTACCTTGATTAAAAAGTTTGATTGGAGGGGGAAAACATATAAAGAAAGGCAGAAACGATCGGCTGCTCATGCTAAAATGATGGCAAATGCTTTAAAAAATGGCAACCAAAACCTGAAAGACGTGGAAGAAAAGCAAAAAACTACCATTGGAAATGGATAGAAGAATAGCCAAAATGGGCGGAACTCAGCCAATCAATCAGCTCCAGGAAGATGAAAGAAAGAAGGTGTGACGTTCCATCGTGTGAGGGGGACTGTTTACAATTAGAAGACGCCTATGTGAAGCCAAGCTATCTGCAAGAAGTCCCCGCAAAAGTCCCACTGTTGGGAAAAAGACTTGTGCTTGCTGAAGAGGTTACAATCTGCCAAAGAGCACAATTCGACCGGCCTAAAGAGAAATGGCGCAGACATTTTGTGGGCTGTATAGAAAGTAAGATTGTTCTTTTTGGGTCTAGTGGGCGGAGACAGTTTGTCAGACGACCCCCAAACACTGAATTCAAGCCACAGTACACTGTGAAGGGACCGTGAAGCATGGTGGTGCAAGCATCATGATATGGGGATGTTTCTCATACTACGGTGTTTTGGGCCTATTTATCGCAATACCAGGGATCATGGATCAGTTTGAATACATCAGAAATACTTGAAGAGGTCATGCTGCCTATGCTGAAGAGGAAATGCCCTTGAAATGGGGGTTCCAACAAGACAACGACCCCAAACACACCAGTAAACGTGCAACATCTTGGTTCCAGACCAACAAGATGGACGTTATGGAGTGGCCAGCCCAATCCCCGGATCTTCATCCAATAGAAAACTTGTGGAGTGGACATCAAAAATGCCGTTTCTGAGGCAAAACCAAGAAATAGAGAAGAACTGTGGAATGTTGGTCCAATCATCCTGGGCTGGAATACCTGATCACAGGGGCCAGAAGTTGGGGGACTCCATGCAACACAGATGTACAGCAGTTCTCAGAAACAGTGGCGACTACAACCAAATATTCATGAAGTCATTCAAAGGAAAGCAAAATCTTCAAAACATTTCTCAGTTTTTTATATAGTGAATGTTTGAGTTTGTAAAGAAGAATACAAACACGGCCATTTTTTTGAACCGTCTAATATTCACTTTTCTTCCATTTTTTAGAGGAACAACACAAATTTGATGTATTTTTTCTTCATGTTGTGATTTGGAATAGAATGTGTCGTGTTCCCAATGCATTTGTGTGGATGGAAATAAAAGGATTAGAAGGATTTTCAGCTTTATTCACTTTTTTTCACACTGCTATTATTGTGAACACAACTGTATATATATATATAAATAATTTATTTATTGAAATATATTTGAAATATATTGAATACGGACAAAATTGTAGCATTTCAAATATATTTTTCTTCCATATGGGGAGCAGCGGGGCAAATTGATGACATCACAGGATCAAGGGAAGGGTGGACCTCAGAGTTCTGGATTCCTTCAGTCTTATTTAGGAAGACCAGGGGCGGACTGACCATTTGAAAACTCGGGCACTGCCCGAGGGCCCGGGGTCAGTAGGGGCCCCATAAGATGCCCCTGGTACCTTTTTCATAGGCTTTTTTTAGTTTGGGCAAGGATACAAGGGCCCCATGATCCCCTATTGCCCGGGGGCCCCATGAGTTGTCAGTCCGCCCCTGAGGAAAAGACTTATATAATTCAATGCCTAGAACGGCCAATCACGGTTCTTCTTTTTCTGCAATAAGCCGGGTCATGGTGGGATACCGCACTTTGCACCTCAGTGTTGCTGTTTGCACGGCTTTATGGTGTTACGAAGTAGATTGCTGGATGTTTCTATGACACGTCTCTGACCGGTGTTCTCTCTCCTGTAGGATTTTGTAGCGGGATTGTCAGTCATCTTGCGAGGGAGTATAGACGACAAACTGAACTGGGCCTTTAATTTGTACGACCTAAACAAAGATGGCTGCATAACTAAAGAGGTACGAGTGTCCAAACCAGCGTCCACAAAAATGAAGAGAGAGTCAATTCTCTAGCACGTTCCCCCTTCCTATGTACAGCATAGTCCTCTCCACTCCCCACCCCCATAACCTTTTATGTAGCAGCTGGGGAATACCGTAGAGCAGCCATTCTCAACCAGAGTTCCAAGGAACCCTAGGGTTCCTCAAGAGGTGTCCAAGACTTCCTTGAGCTGTGGCCAACTGAGCATCCATTTGATGGTATCTTCATAATTCCAGTATCAACATCACATTGCACATGACTGCAGGGTGGCATTCTGGGGCATGCTCCCCACTGATCACCACCAATGTATGGGGCATTTTCCAAATGGCTCCTAATAGAGTAGTCCTAGCAGGGGTTCCCTGAGACCTGAAAATGATTTCAAGGATTCCTATGGAATAAGGCGGTTGAGAAAGGCTGATATAGAGTGTCAATGGAATAACTGCTTTGTGTCTGCTGCAAATCCAAGATGGTGGTACCCAGCAGTAGTCTCAGGGATTTTAGATGTCCACTCAAGGGAGGTTTGTTAACAGGGTCACAGTCAGGGGTCAGGCTTGGAGATCCGGACTATAGCAATAGAGAGGCTCCCACTGATCAGCAGGATAAGTACACAAGCAGGTCACTCTGAGGAGCTGTTTTACGGTGTCTTGCCGAATAATCACCTGAAATTGAAGTTTTTGTGCTCTCAGCTTATTGGTCCAGCACCCGTTTTGGAATTTTTATACATGGCTTCCATTTGCCATCTATAGGCACAGAATCTTCTGTGCCTAATGAAAAATATGGTCCTTCATCTGAAACCTATAATCTACAACAGACATTTTTAACGATTCCTTCAGAGGTTGCTAGGGACTTCTTGAGTTGTGACTGGTTGACCTCCCATCTGACGGTGCTTTCATAGTTCTGGGAGCATGCTACTTGGAAGTGCCAGGGTTGGACATCAATGTCTTTGAGGGTGGCATTCTGACCACCAATGTAATGTAGGGAACATTCTTTCTACTCATTGACTTCCCACTAAGGAGCATTCTTCCCACTGATCTCCATTGTTCTTCCCACTGTAAGGAGCATTCTTTCCCACTGACCCCCAATTAAGGGACATTCTTCCCACTGACCCCCCATATTAAGGAGCATTCTTCCCACTGATCCCCAATGTAAGGGACATTCTTCCCACTGACCCCCAATGTAAGGAGCATTCTTCCCACTGACCCCCAATGTAAGGGACATTCTTCCCACTGACCCCCAATGTAAGGGACATTCTTCCCACTGATTCTTCCAATGTAAGGAGCATTCTTCCCACTGATCACCAATGTAAGGAGCATTCTTCCCACTGACCCCCAATGTAAGGGACATTCATTCTTCCCACTGACCTCCAATGTAAGGGAGCATTCTTCCCACTGACCACCAATGTAAGGACATTCTTCCCCCACTGACCCCACATTCTTCCAATGTAAGGAGACATTAAGGGACTTCTTCCCACTGACCCAACGTAAGGAACACCAACGTAAGGAGCATCTAAGGGACATTCTTCCCACTGACCACCAATGTAAGGGACATTCTTCCCACTGATCACCAATGTAAGGGGCATTCTTCCCCACTGACCACCAATGTAAGGGACATTCCCACTTCCCCTACTGACCACCAATGTAAGGGACCTTCCCACTCTTCCCCACTGATCACTGATCACCACCAATGTAAGGGACATTCTTCGTACTGATCACCAATGTAAGGGACATTCTTCCCACTGACCTCCAATGTAAGGGACATTCTTCCCACTGACCACCCATGTAAGGGACATTCTTCCCACTGACCACCAATGTAAGGGGCATTCTTCCCACTGACCACCAATGTAAGGGACATTCTTACCACATTCTTCCCACTGACCACCAATGTAAGGGACCTTCTTCCCACTGACCCCCAATGTAAGGGACATTCTTCCCACTGACCACCAATGTAAGGGGCATTCTTCCCACTGACCCCCAATGTAGGAGACATTCTTCCCACTGACCACCAATGTAAGGGGACATTCTTCCCACTGACCACCAATGTAAGGGGCATTCTTCCCACTGACCACCAATGAATTGATTTTAGCAGGGGTTCCTGAGTCCTAATAGTTATTTTAAGGGCTCCTCTGTGGTAAAAAAAAAAAAGTTGGATCTACAATATCAATGCTTCCCAGTATTGGTGTCCAAAACCTGCTCTGAAATCTCCATTCAATGATTAGTTTTACTTTGCCCCACCTTTTAAAATGAAGAGGTTGCGTTCTGTAGACCCACAGTGCCTTGAATTTAGAGGCAGGGTTCTCAGGAAGGGAACGGGGCTCTCTAGACCTACATCAGATGATATATATTTGATCACTGAAGTTATTATGCTACTATTTCTGTTGTCTTCTTGTAGGAGATGATGGACATCATGAAATCCATATACGACATGATGGGCAAGTACACGTACCCGAATATGAGGGAAGAGGCACCCAGAGAGCACGTGGAGAACTTTTTTTCCAGGTGAACTTCCAGGCCAAGCCTTCTCTATACTGTGTCTGCCATACCGCTCTGCATATTTAACACGTCCATCTTTCTTTTTCCCTAGAAAATGGATAGAAATAAGGATGGTGTAGTCACAATCGAAGAATTCATAGAATCATGTCAGAAGGTAATGTGGCTATTTACGACCTCCATACTGGACAGATATTCATTTTGTGAATGGTTAAGTGAACCTTTGCCCTGCCCGTTCTTATCTTCTTTTTGCTCCTCCAGTGCTCTGTTTGGCCACTGAGAGAAGAGAGTGGGTGGAAACCCTCTCTTAGAAATGTAGCACCCTCCTAGTTAGCAGGGGGGAGCTAACTAATTATTATTTTTTTTAAATAGAAGGCCGAGTAGCAGCCTGGGTGATAATCAGAGGGGTCAAATTCGGATCAGGGCTGAGAAGCTCTGCAGATCAGTTCACTGATGCCTCCAACTGATCTAGAGATTTGGAGAAGTCTCTGGAACTCAGTGGGTGGTGGTGAGGTCTTAAAGGATCCTGACCAATCCCCAGGCAGGAGAGGCTTGGTATGGGGTTGGGACAGCCTTTAATTATGTTTGAGCATGCTCAGCAGCAGGAGAGTTCACATGGAAGATGGAGTGAGAAGACGAGATGCAGGAGCCTGGGGAGGGGACCCAGTGGGAAGGGGCCTACCTACAGGCAGGAAGCTGGAAAGTAGGATCACTCAGACCTCATCGGCCCCCAGAGCGAGGACCGCCTGTGGAGCCAGTCCAGCGGAAGGCCTGAAAGCAGCTACCAACCCACCGGCTCACAGGACTGAGTGAGTAATCCTGCACCCCCTGGGCCAGACAAGGGAAAAGCATTTGGGTTGGAAACCTGACTCGCTCTGTTCTAAGGACTGTCCGCCTTTACAGTAGTAGCCACTGAATCCCCTTCGCTCAGGGATTCCTCTAGATTGCTGGATAGAAGATGACTTATCTGGGGTCTGGGGTGGTACGCCAGGAGAGGCTGGAGAGCTCTCCTAGAAGAGGAAACCCTTCTTTGCAGACTTGTACATAGTTGTTAGGAAGTTTTCCTCAGTTTACAGTCCCTTGGGCATCCCATGCACCCCTTACTCCATCCAAGGTCAATTCCCCTAAAAAAAGTCTATTTGGGCAACAGCCAGGCGAGACGGTAACAATACAACAGGCAATGATAAATTCATGGACTTGCGGGCAGCAGGGTAGAAGGGAAGGGGAAGTAGTCAAGAACAAAGCCAGGGTCAAAACAGGAGCACCACAGCAGACTGGGGAGAGCCAGAGAAGATTCGGAATTCAGACCAGGTTGGTAAGAAAAGGTCAGGATCCGATGCAGAATTGCAGGTCGTAGGTACAATACTGTAGCTCTCAGGCTTAAATGGCCCACTTGGCACCTCGATTTGCAAGGAACCTGAACATATCCACACACAAATGTTGGCCATGCAAAATTCTATTACTGAATTATGCACATGTGCGGGTGCTCATGCAGACAACCTGCCATGCAGGCTGGCTTGGTCTTCCTGTAGCACACTGACCCCTGACGGGTTTGTTCCAAGTTCTATTCCCAAGTGGGTGCGAGCAGTCAGGCACACAGAATTTTCCCAGTCTCTGAACCAGGGGCGGACTGACAACTCATGGGGCCCCCGGGCAATAGAGGATCATGGGGCCCCTGTGTCCTTGGCCAAACTCAAAAAAGCCTATGAAAAAGGTACCAGGGGCAACTCATGGGGCCCCCTACTGACCCCGGGCCCTCGGGCAGTGCCCGAGTTTCCAAATGGTCAGTCCGCCCCTGCTCTGAACACAATACCCAGGCCCCGAGTGTCTTTTTTGAAGTTTAATGCTGGTTAAACTTGGTTGGGTTTGGGGTGAGCCTTGGGATTCTCAAATGTGCTGGAAACTGAAAGAGAGGGCACTCTCTGGTACTAAGCAAACTCTTCAGGGTAGACCTCTTGTGATAACAGATAGAGGACATACAGCTTAGGGGACTCCCACTATGAAAGCTGCCCTAAGCCAGCAACTCTGGAACAGTCTCTTCAAGGGTTAAGCAGCTACAGTCTCTAGGATCTCTCTCTATCTCAGGCCTCTTCTCTCTGTGTCCTTGTGTACATGGATGCCTCCTTCCGGTACCAGACAGGCCCTCCAGGCCAGATCCTCTGCAGACTTTCTCCAAAACTCAGCAGCTTTAGTAGTAGGGCCCCCAGTTCTCCCTAAGCTGGGACTTCATTGAAACCCCTGCATTCTTCAGCTAATCTGCCCAGAAGGGCAGCAGCCCTTCAGGCTGGGCCTTGTCCTCCAGGGCAAGGATTCTATCGGTTTAAGGCCCCAGACTATTTATACACACCTCAGCCCCATGCTGGTCATCTCATTGACCAGAGATTGGCTGAAGCTGTATGAATATTAAACCCAGGGTCTTCCTCTTCTAACCCTCTAGAACCTACTACAGGAAAGAGGGAAGTAGTTGAAACTGCAACCAGTAGGACCCAGAATAACCAAAAGCAATCAAATCCTGCTCCTCTGACTACTATTTCTACCAGCAACCTACTAGGAGGGCGCTACATTCATAACAGGTGGTCAGTTGTCCACAAGCTGTTGATGAGTAGTTGGAATTGTTGTGGAGGAAGTTAGGTGTCCTGTACAAAGTCCATACTTCAACCCTACTGGACACCTTTGAGATGAACTGGAGGGAAGAGCAGGAGCACGGTAGCTAGACGTTACTCCTTCACTCTCAGGGTCTATGTAGGGGGACCCCGGGGCACCCTCCCCTCCCCCAAGAGGGAGGGAAGAGAAGGAGCACAGTAGCTAGATGTTACTCCTTCACTCTCAGGGTCTATGTAGGGGGACCCCGGGGCACCCTCCCCTCCCCCAAGAGGGAGGGAAGAGAAGGAGCACAGTAGCTAGATGTTACTCCTTCACTCTCAGGGTCCATGTAGGGGGACCACGGGGCACCCTTCCCTCCCCCAAGAGGGAGGGAAGAGCAGGAGCATGGTAGCTAGATGATACTCCTTCACTCTCAGGATCCATGTAGGGGGACCCCGGGGCACCCTCCCCTCCCCCAAGAGGGAGGGAGGGAAGAGCAGGAAAACGGTAGCTAGATGTTGCTCCTTCACTCTCTGGGGCCATGTAGGGGGACCCCGGGGCACCCTTCCCTCCCCCAAGAGGGAGGGAAAGAGAAGGAGCACAGTAGCTAGATGTTACTCCTTCACTCTCAGGGTCTATGTAGGGGGACCCCGGTTCACCCTTCCCTCCAGCAAGAGGGAGGGAAGAGCAGGAACACGGCGGTAGCTAGATGTTACTCCTTCACTCTCGGGGTTTATGTAGGGGGACCACGGGGCACCCTTCCCTCCCCAAGAGGGAGGGAAGAGCAGGAGCATGGTAGCTAGATGATACTCCTTCACTCTCAGGGTCCATGTAGGGGGACCCCGGGGCACCCTCCCCTCCCCCAAGAGGGAGGGAAGAGCAGGAAAACGGTAGCTAGATGTTGCTCCTTCACTCTCAGGGTCCATGTAGGGGGACCCCGGGGCACCCTTCCCTCCCCCAAGAGGGAGGGAAGAGCAGGAGCACAGTAGCTAGATGTTACTCCTTCACTCTCAGGGTCTATGTAGGGCAGTGTTTCTCAACTCCAGTCCTCATGGACCCCCAACAGGTCATGTTTTCAGGATTTCCCTCAGATGAAACAGCTGAGGTAATTACTAAGGCAGTGAAACTGATCAAATCACCTGTGCAAAATAATGGAAATCCTGAAAACATGACCTGTTGGGGGTCCATGAGGACTGGAGTTGAGAAACACTGATGTAGGGGGACCCCGGGGCACCTTAGGGGACCTGCTCTACTCACCTGCTTCCACTTGGGCAACTCTGACCATAGTTTGGGAATCCAACGTCCAACAAGCTCATATAGGTGTGATGGTCAGGTGTTCACAAACTTTTTGCTTTATAGCGTCCACATGAACCTACAGGGATTAGTATACCAGCCAAGCAAGTAAACTAAACCCACAGCAGTACAATCAGTCTATAGATGCAGTAAAGCATGCTTGTTATACTCACTGTGGAACCTAAGGGGTTAATCCTCTGCATTATGTAAAAAGGCTGCGGCGGGCAATCTGGCGCTAACAGACCCTGGCTGGGAGGGACACCAACTGACACAGAGGTCGCTAAAAACACTAATACAGTGATCAGATATACCTTACACTGTCCAGGGGCGGACTGACAACGCATGGGGCCCCCGGGCAATAGGGGATCATGGGGCCCCTGTGTCCTCGCCCACACTCAAACCACACCCAAAAAAGCCTATGAAAGGTACCAGGGGCATCTCATGGGGCCACCTACTGACCCTGGGCCCTCGGGCAGTGCCAGAGTACCCCAATGGTCAGTCCACTCCTGACACTGTCACTGTACTAGTGATACCGGCTGGGAAAGGGTTAACATCCAGGGGCAACCAAGGGGTTAAATGTGCGCCAAAACGAGTGTAATGTGTGAGGATTTTACTGACAGATATGGTCGAACTTCGATTTGATTTCAGGGAGAAGAAATAACCAGGTGTCTGTATACAGAGTTCTGTGTGTTTGTAAACACAGAACCTTGTGCTGCGATTGGCCACAGCCGATCAGCAGGTATACAACCAAAATTATTGGCCGAAACCAGGGGCGGACTGACCATTTGGAAACCCGGGCACTGCCCGAAGGGCCCGGGGTCAGTAGGGGGCCGCTTGAGATGCCCCTGGTACATTTTTCATAGGCTTTTTTGAGTGTGGGCAAGGACACAGGGGCCCCATGATCCCCTATTGCCCGGGGGCCCCATGAGTTGTCAGTCCGCCCCTGGCCGAAACCTGCTTACAAGCACTGGTCAGCAGGGGACGAGCATGCGTGCTGAAAACCAGGAAGTTAAGCCGCGACGTCATCAAGCTTGGCTGTGACGCCCGCCAGCAGTTAAATGACCCGTGGGCGGGAGGAAATCGGTTCATGTACGGCAGGGGTGGGCAACTGTGGCCCTCCAGCTGTTGTAGAACTACAAGTCCCATGAGGCATTGCAAAACTGACAGTTACAAGCGTGACTCCCAAAGGCAGAGGCATGATGGGACTTGTAGTTCACTAACAGCTGGAGGGCCGCAGTTGCCCACCCCTGATGAACGGTAATCAATTCAATTACTTGTTACATTTTGTTATATTGTATTGTTTTTTGTTTTTTTTTTGTTTCCAATCGCAGGATGAAAACATTATGAGATCCATGCAGCTCTTCGACAACGTCATTTAGCAAAAAGCGGCGAAGGAACGGATTTCGGGATCGCACTTTTGAATAGACATTCTTCTGGCTGCACAATTACAGAATAGTGTGTCTGATGCAAACTAAAATGCAATTATAATCTCTGTACTACTTTACGGCTGTTGTAAACACTTAAAAAAAGAAAAAAAAAAAAAAAAAGGTAGGGGGGGACAAAGGAAACCTCCCGCCGAAGATTCCAAAAACTCCAGTTTCCCGACGTTAGCACACTGCCACCTAGTGGATCCGTCCAGAATACTGATTGGATTTGGAAAAAAAAGTTCAACTATCGTTCGATTTTATTTTCTTTTCCATATATCACGGGGACCTTCTGTATCCTTTTACAGAGATGAAGGTTTTTGTCCAGAATCAGGAAATCGCGACGTAAATGTTCCTTTTCTTGGGGAAACGTGGACAATGTTGCTGCATCTGTAGCCACGTATCGATATTTATCAGGATGATTCGTTTCTATGGAGTCGATCGATTCTGCGGCACCTTGCAGAGCACATTCACGGCGGTCCCTCGTAGGACAGACAGTCGGATCTGCTGGGTCCCATTAATACATACATTTTCCATGCCTGGAGCAGGGGCGGACTGACCATTCGAGCACTCGGGCACTGCCCGAGGGCCCGGGGTTAGTAGGGGGCCCCATGAAATGCCCCTGGTACCTTTTATAGGCTTTTTTTGGGTGTTCTTTGAGTTTGGGCAAGGACACAGGGGCCCCATGATCCCCTATTGCCTGGGGGCCCCATGAGTTGCCCGGGATCAGTAGGGGGCCCCATGAAATGCCCCTGGTACCTTTTATAGGCTTTTTTGAGTGTTCTTTGAGTGTGGGCAAGGACACAGGGGCCCCATGATCCCCTATTGCCTGGGGGCCCCATGAGTTGCCCGGGATCAGTAGGGGGCCCCATGAAATGCCCCTGGTGCCTTTTATAGGCTTTTTTGGGTGTTCTTTGAGTTTGGGCAAGGACACAGGGGCCCCATGATCCCCTATTGCCCGGGGGCCCCATGAGTTGTCAGTCCGCCCCTGGCCTGGAGATAGACAGAATCTATTTAAAGGGCCAGTCCGCCCCCCCAAAACTGATATCTCGATTCGGGTTGGTTGGTATCGGGTCACAGATTTGCACTTCCGGCTGCTTTCTTGTTATAAAACCGATTCAAGCTCTAGTAGGGAGTGAGACGCTCTTATGATGGGTGTGGCATTGGGGCGGAGCTGGGAACGCGGGTGCAGGGGGGGGGTTTTCTGAGCGGGATTCCCCAAGAGATATGAGAAGCCATTGGATTGTTAGCCTTCCAGTCCCTACATTTAGCTGAATTATGACTTCTGGTGGGGTGACCGTTGGACCCAGGAGACCAGGAGGAAGGCGTGCAAAGTCAGGCATCAGCGGCCCGTGGCCTCCACTCTCATGGGCTTCCAGAAAAACAGAGGTCCCTTAACCGTCCACAGTGCCCCCCAACCTCCCACAGTGCCCCCCAACCTCCCACAGTGCCCCCCAGCCTCCCACTGTGCCACTCAGCCAAGTGTCCCACAGTGTCCCCCAACCTCCCACAGTGCCCCCCAACCTCCCACAGTGCCCCCCAACCTCCCACAGTGCCCCCCAACCTCCTACAGTGCCACTTAGCCTCCCACAGTGCCCCCCAACCTCCCACAGTGCCCCCCAGCCTCCCACAGTGCCCCCCAACCTCCTACAGTGCCACCCAGCCTCCCACAGTGCCCCCCAACCTCCTACAGTGCCCCCCAACCTCCCACAGTGCCCCCCAACCTCCTACAGTGCCACCCAGCCTCCCACAGTGCCCCCCAACCTCCTACAGTGCAACCCAGCCTCCCACAGTGCCCCCCAACCTCCCACAGTGCCACTCAGCCTCCTACAGTGCCCCTCAGTTTGCTACAGAGCCTCCAGACCTTTATAGTGCAGAGCGGCTCCCATAGTGCCCCCCAACCTCCCACAGTGCCCCCTGAGAGCCTTCAACCTCCACAATGCCTACCAAACGTTCCACAGTGCCACTCAGCCTCCTACAGTGCCCTCAGCTTGCTGAAGAGCCTCCAGCCTTCTATAATGCAGACCAGTTCCCATAGTCCCCCCTAACCTCCCATAGTGTCCCCCAACCTCCCATAGTGGCCCACAGTGCACCCTGAGAGCCTTCAACCTTCACAATGCCCACCAAACTTCCCACAGTGTCACTCAGCCTCCTACAGTGCCCCTCGGCTTGGTGCAGAGGCCCCAGCCCTCTATAGTGTCCCTCAACCTCCCATAGTGGCCCACATTGCCCCCTAGTCCCAGAGAGCCTTCAACCTCCACAATGCTCCCCAACCTCCCATAGTGGCACACAGGCCCCCTGAGAGCCTTCAACCTCCACAATGCCCCCCAACTCCCATAGTGGCACACAGGCCCCCTGAGAGCCTTCAACCTCCACAATGCCCCCCAACTTCCAATAGTGGCCCACAGGCCCCCTGAGAGCCTTCAACCTCCACAATGCCCCCCAACTTCCAATAGTGGCCCACAGGCCCCCTGAGAGCCTTCAACCTCCACAATGCCCCCCAACTTCCAATAGTGGCCCACAGGCCCCCTGAGAGCCTTCAACCTCCACAATGCCCCCCAACCTCCCATAGTGGCACACAGGCCCCCTGAGAGCCTTCAACCTCCACAATGCCCCCCAACTTCCAATAGTGGCCCACAGGCCCCCTGAGAGCCTTCAACCTCCACAATGCCCACCAAACTTCCCACAGTGCCCCCCAGCTTGCTGCAGAGCCTCCAGCCCTTTATAGTGCAGACCAGCTCCCATAGTGTCCCTCAACCTCCCATAGTGGCCCACAGTACCCTCTGGCCCCAGGGAGCCTTCAACCTTCACAATGCCCCCCAACTTCCCATAGTGCCACTCAGCCTCCTACAGTGCCCCCTGCTTGCTGCAGAGCCTCGAGCCCTCTATAGTGCAGACCAAAGGCAAGGTGCCGATAATGGCTTCTCTGTTCTATTATAAAATAAATGTGTCAGGCAACTCACATGCAAAGTCGTGTCCCATAGACTTTCATGCAAAATTGCTTCCCATAGACTTTCATGCAAAAACACGTCCCATAGACTTTCATACAAAAATGTCCCCTAGCGACTTAAATGCAAAATTGCGCCTCCTTATAGACTTTTTTTGCAAAAACGTCCTTTAGTGACTTAATTGCAAAACCACATCCACATAGACTTCAATGCAAAACCACCCACTAGTGACTTCAATTCAAAATCAAGCCCCATCGATTTTCATGCAAAGTCACTTCCCATAGACTTTCATGCAAAAACGCCCCTAGTGTCTTCAATGTAAAATCGCGTCCAATAGACTTTCATGCAAAAACACGTCCCATAGACTTTCATACAAAAATGTCCCCTAGCGACTTAAATGCAAAATTGCGCCTCCTTATAGACTTTTTTTGCAAAAACGTCCTTTAGTGACTTAATTGCAAAACCACATCCACATAGACTTCAATGCAAAACCACCCACTAGTGACTTCAATTCAAAATCAAGCCCCATCGATTTTCATGCAAAGTCACTTCCCATAGACTTTCATGCAAAAACGCCCCTAGTGTCTTCAATGTAAAATCGCGTCCAATAGACTTTCAGGCTAAATCACGTTCCCATAGACTTTAATGCAAAAGTGCCCCCTAGTGATGTCAAAGCAAAATTGCATCCCATAGACTTTAATGCAAAATCACATCCCCGTAGACTTCAATGCAAAAACGGCCCCTAGTGACTTCAATGCAAATGTGAACATAATAAACCCAGCCTAGGCTCGCAAGGCATGCTGGGAAATGTAATGAGACAGCAGCCGGGGAATCGAGCCGAGATGATACCGCCTCATTTGTACCTGCAACACGCCTGCATCGCCGTACTGCATTTTAGAATTCTGCAGGTCATGTGACCAAAAAATTCTTTGAATCCCGAAACAATGTTTCTTCTGTCATCAGATTTTGTTGTTTCTCACCTTAGAATGTCAGGATTGGCTAGCGAGGTGTTTGTGACATGTATATGATAATGAGTAGGTGTGACCTGCGGGGGGCCACGCCCACAAAGCGCACTTCTGTCCCTTGATGTGTGTTGTGTGTAGCCTCGGTTCACACTGATGCGACTTATCACGTGACTGAATATCATGGGACTGGATGCGACTTCCATTGTGAGTCAAAACATATTCATAGTTCCAGCGCTACTTTTCTGCGTCTTCGGTGCGACTCCAGTCCATAGACTGCAATGCAGAAATCACAAAAGCAGCAAGGAGGGTCTTCATCTGTGCGACTTTGATGCAACATCCGACTTCAGAAGGTTTTTTTTTTCACAAAAGCCAAAGTCACACTGGAAGTGGCATCAAGTCGCACTGCAGAGTCACACTGGAAGTGGCATCAAGTCGCACTGCAGAGTCACACTGGAAGTGGCATCAAGTCGCACTGCAGAGTCACACTGGAAGTGGCATCAAGTCGCACTGCAGAGTCACACTGGAAGTGGCATCAAGTCGCACTGCAGAGTCACACTGGAAGTGGCATCAAGTCGCACTGCAGAGTCACACTGGAAGTGGCATCAAGTCGCACTGCAGAGTCACACTGGAAGTGGCATCAAGTCGCACTGCAGAGTCACACTGGAAGTGGCATCAAGTCGCACTGCAGAGTCACACTGGAAGTGGCATCAAGTCGCACTGCAGAGTCACACTGGAAGTGGCATCAAGTCGCACTGAAAGTGGCAGAGTCGCAGCAGTGCAAACCGAAGCTTACCAGAAGCTGTCCCAAATGGGCGTCTGCGGGAAAGTAGGTTGAATGACTCACCCCGGGCTCACACCTCTGCGTTTTCATCAACGTTTGCAGAAACACAGCGCAGTCCATGTAACATGATTTCCTGTGGGACACGTTCACATCTCCGCGTTTTCACCCCGGTGCGTTTTTTGGAAAGGGGCGGGGACTTTTTTTAAAGCAAAAAGTTGCGATTTTGGTTCTATAAACTTAGATTATATTCTTTACTATTCT